ATTCCCTTCACGAACATCTGATTTCCTTTCTCTTCCTCCTTAGTCCTCATCTTTTCAAACTGAAAAGGCCTCAGATTTGGAGGCCTTTCTTCTTATCTCTACCACTCTGGCTCCAGGTCCCACCCCCCATATCTCATGCACTGACCACTCTGGGCCTTCACCAGGAGCAGTAAGTTACAAAGAGGCTGGATGTCAGGAGAGACTTCCTAACAATGGTAGCTGTCTAAAAGTGAAATAGGCTGCATTGGGAGACTGCTTTCAAGTACAGGGACTATCTTTTGCCTTTCTTTGTACCCCAGCACTTAACATAGTTCATGACACATAGTAGGCACTTCATAAATGTTTACTGACTGGTGGATTGCCCCTCCTTTGAAGTTTTCAAGGAGAAACTGGAGGATTACTTGTCAGATGCATTATAGTGAGAATTCCTTTCCTGTATGGGCTGGACTATATAGGCACTGAGGTCTCTTCAACTCTCAAATTCTATGATTTGGTAACAGGCTTCCTAAGCTGCTGTATCAAAAATATTCTCAGTTCCCCCTACTTTAAAATGAATCAGTCCATTGTCAGAACCCTTCCCCTGACTGGAAGGGCTGATCAACAGGAAGGAAGACACTGAACAGAGCTAAAGGGGATGAGATAGGATGGGGAGACCATCTTGGACTTCTTCCCAGGCAAAGGCTCTGCCGCACAGAATCACATTATTGTAGAGGTGGAAGACATGTTGGAGGCCATCTAGACTAACCCTCACACAAAAAAGAATCCCCAGCACAGTGCACTTTATGAGCAGGCTTTCAGCCACTGCTTGAAGACATCCAATGAGGGGAAACCGACTACCTCTCCAGGGCAACCCAGTCCACTCACCTTGGACTCATCAATGCTCATTGTGGGGAAAGTTTTCCCGGAAGTGAATCTGCTTATTTGTAACATCTATCCATTGGTCTTAGTTACGCCCTCTGGGGCCAAGCAGAGCAAGATTAACCCCTCTTCTTCTAAGGTCCTTTCCAACTCTAAATCTAGGACCATAGACCTAAAGATGAAAAGGACTTCAGTCTTTTCAATCTAATAAACCCCTACATTTTACAGATAAGGAAACTGAGACCCAGGAAAATTAAGTGATTTGCCGAAGGTCAGAGTATCAAAGTTGGGATGTGAATCCAAGTCTTCTATATCATACTACCTCCAAATACTTGAAGACAGAGGAGGGGGTGGAGAGGGAGGGAGGAAGGAAGGAAAGGAGGAGGAGGGAGGAAGGAGGGAAGGAGGAAAAGGAGGGAGGGAGGGAAAGAAGAAGGAAGGGATGGAGGAAGGAAGGGAGAGAGGAGAAAGAGAACATTTTATTAAGTTCTTACTATGTGCCAAGGACTGCGCTAAGCTCTAGGGATACAAATACAAAAACAAATACAATTCCTACCTTCAATAAACTTACGTTTTAATAGAAAGAGATTACAAAAATAGGGGCTAGTAGCCAAGGAAAAGTATTTTGGTCAGAAAAGCTACAGGGATGGTAAGCAGGGCCGTGAGGGAGAGCAGGCTGAGACCCTTGGAAAGGAAAATGGCTGAACAGACTGGTTTGTGGCTCCAGAACTAGAGGGTTTGGGAGTCTTCACAGGTTCAAGGCACTTTGTCATCCTCGTTGCCCTCCTCTAGACACTCTCCAGCTTATCAATGGCTTCCTATAATATAGTGCTAGAACAGAATGCAGTGCAATGCTTCTAGTCCTGAGATGCATTATCCAGTATCCAGTGAGAAGATCCCAAACCTGGGAGTCAGGAGCGCTAGGCTTCAGTCCTGGTCTTACCGCTAACTTGCTATATGAAAGTCACTTTCCTTCTCTGAGTTTAGTTTCTCCATCTACAAAATGAAAGGACGACATCAGACGGTCTCTAGTCTGGAAAATTCCTTCCACTGCTGACATTCACTGTTCTATGAGGTGAATGCTGATAACAGAGATGGAGTTAGGTGGCTCAGTGGTCAGAGAAGGCTAGGACTTGAACTGGGCTTTGGTTCACATCTAAAGTCTGATATGAATTCTTTGGCCTTGAACAGCTCATTTAATCTTTCTGGGTCTCAGTTTCCTCATATGTAAAATGAGGGGGTTGACCAAATGGAAGAGAAAGGAGAGAGAAGGTACTACAGACCTCAAAACTGGGGGTGAGGGAGAAAACTAAAGAGACCAGAAAGGCTGGGTTCTAGGGACTCCTCCTTTATATCAGCCTACGCCCCAAATCCCAAAGCTACCAGCCAGCGGCAAAGGGGCTTTCTGGGGCCTCTCCCTCAGCTGCTCACCCAGGTGTTTTCCGGCTCCTGAAGCTCTGGAGACTCCACCCAGCACCGGGAAAAGGATATCCAACAGTTAGTGAGAAGCAGCAGGGAGGGAGGAGGTGGCCACCTGGAGGGCATCATTTGACTACAGGAGATACCTGGAACTGGGCTCCAGCCTTCCTGGTTGCAAAATCCATTTGCATGTGAACCAGGGGTTCCCCAGAGCAAAGCTGGGTTCTCCAGAAGGGAATTTACTTTTCCCTATCCTTAGCAGAGAGACAGCCAGAGAGTCAGACTCCCATCTAGACCAGAACTGGCCAATTCTGAGTATCACCTAATATGGCACTGTCTCTCGGGAGTTCATAATGCAGGGGCCAGGATACTAGGATCTTCAGGGACCTTTATTAGTTTATGAGCAACTCCAAAGCAGGAACTGTTTCTCTTTTTCTTTCTTTCTTTTCTTTTTTTTTTTTTTTTTGCCTTTCTTTTTAACCCCAGTGCTTAGCAGAGTGGCTGGAACACAGCAGATACTTAATAAATGCTAATTGACTGATTTACTTGGAGAAGAGAGTCCTTAGAGTGAGTCTGTTGCTTCTTACAGAAGTTTGTTGGGACCCCAGAGGTCCAACTCATACCTGAAAAGGAATTCCTCTCAGCAGCATCTCCGACAAGTCAACATTCAGTTTCCATGTGAAGATCCCTAAGGATGAGGAATTTACCACCAGTACAAGTGGAATTTGGGAGGAAGGGGCCCAGAGGGGCTGCTACATTTCCAAAAGCATTCCACTCTCAGACACATGAGTTCCTCTGGATTTCCCCTTTCCCTGATTCCTTTCCACTCTTCCAAATCCTTCCCATCTCTAATCTCACCTCTTCTGAGAAGCCTTTCATAACTTCTCTAACACACAAAATCAACTCTTCCTCCAGTGACCTTCCATAATATTTATTGTGTGCCTTTCCATGGCCACTTAGCATATCATGGTATTTTTAGTTTCCTCAATCCTTGTGTGTTTACATTGTAAATACCTAATAAGTGTTTATTTACGAAGATGTTACATTCCCATCACAGAATGTAAACTCCTTAAAAGCAGGGAATTTTTCACTTTTGCATTTTGTATCCCCAGTGCCTAGAATACAGTAAGTGCTTAAAAGTGGCTTGTTGACTGGTTGATTAACTGTTTCTTTAATTATCTGGCTTTCCCCCCCAAAAAAAGGCTTTGAACTTTCTGGGAAGGAAAGGACTAGGTCTCCCCAGCAGGTGGAAAACTGGGCCCCCACACACAGTAGGCACTAATTATATGAATGCTGAGAGGTGAGTCTATCCCCATTGCCCCTGAGAAGGCCCACACCTAAAACCCAGTTAATAGAGAGGGATGGATGGATGGTCTCTCCTGCCCTATAGATTGTAGGCATCTTAAAAGCAGGAATTGATGTTTTTGTCTGTATTACACAGTGCTTTGCATATAGTAGATGCTTGTGGTATTGGACTGAATTTAATTGAACATGATTTAGGGAAATGTCTCTGAACAGGCAATAGCTGTGAGAGTTGAGTGGTAGAAGTCACCTGTAATATGAAAGGCCAATGCCTGTGATTGTATATGTATATACATAGATACACAGTATATACACATACATGCATATATGTATATATACATACATGTATGTGTATACTTGTATACATGTATACACATATACATGTGTGTATATAATAAAACATTGCTGTGGAACTTTTACATTTAGAAAATATATCCCTGATGTTGAGTGGGTTATCTCATTTGACTAATCTTCATAACAATCTTGTAAAGTAGGTGCTACAATTATTACCCTCCTTTTGACAGATGAGAAAACTGAGACTCCAGGAAGTGAGGTTTCTTGCCTCATATACCTAGGAAGTGTCAAAAGTTGGTAGCCCCAGTGTGTCCCACTAACCCCAGCTGCCTGACATGATCTACATCGGGAGTGTGTGTATTAAGTGCCTCTCTGTCCCCACACGTACGTGCTGCCTAGCATGTGTGCAACTCCTTAAGACAAACTCGGAGCAAGAACGAATTTAGAGGTTATCTAATACAAGTCCTTCGTTTTACAAATCAGGAAACTGGGACCCAGAGAGATGAAGGGGCTCGCCCTAGGTTTTGAACCCAGGTCCTCTGAATCCTGGATCCTGCAGTCTTTTCCCATTATTCCTCCCCTGTCTCTTCACCCCCACCCCCACAGGCCTCAAAAATGAATGGACGTTGAAGGGACGCCAGGTGTAGACCGAGGCAGCAGCGCCGTGGGCCCGCCCTCCCCTTTCCCCACTTCCTCTTCCTTGTCCCCAAACCCACGTGGAAGCCGTGCCCCACGGGGGCTGGAGGAGCTAGCCCGGCGCCAGAGCCGGGTGGCTTCGGTCAGCAGGGGAGAGGACAGGCCCAGTCCTCGGCCCAACGCCGCTCAGACTCCGGGGCTGGCCGAGGGGAAGAGGGGCGGCGGGGCCGGCTAGGGCAGCTGGTGAGGGACAGGGAGGCGTGTCCGAGGAGGGGCGGGGAAGACCGGCCTGGCCAGAGGAGGGGGAGGAGCAGGAAGGGGCGGTGGCGGCGGCTACCCCGCCTCCCTCCTCCCCAGCCCTGCCCAGCCCAGCCCGGCCCGCCGCCGCCGCCTCCTTCCTCTCCTCCTCCTCCACCTCCTCCTCCTCCTCCCCCTCCTCCTCCTCCTCCTCCTCCTCCTCCTCCTCCTCCTCCTCCTCCTAAAGGGCCGCCGCCACCGCCGCTCCGGCTTTCCGCGTCTTCGAAACCGCCGCCACCTGTCGGGACCTGCCCGCCCCCCGGTATAAAGCCCCGGGGACGAGCCCTGCCCCCCGGAGTCGGACCCCCATGGAGACACTGCTGGGGACAGCGCACGGCCGGGTAGGAAGGTCCCGGCGCGGGTGGGGCGGGTGAAAAGGGGCGGCCGGGGTGATCTGCTCCCCAGCTCGAGCCCGGGGCGCTCCTCCCCAGCTTAGCCGAAGTTGTCCCGAAAGTAGGGACAGAGTCCTGGAGAAGTGAAGGGGGGGTGGGGAGGCGGCGGGACAGCTGTCGTCCATCTCCGGACTGGGCCTGAAGAGGAAGCCGGAGAGAGTCCGGCCCCAGGGTCAGGCCGGGGCCTCCAAAACCCGGAGCGGAGTGGGGGGACCGTCCCCAACCCCCCTGGGCGGGGATTAGTCTGGACCAAACAAGACATTGCTCTTCTTCACCGCTCTCCCCCATCCCCCCC